TTTGTCACAGCCTGCATTTAATTAGTGACCCCAGAGTGCGAGATATCATATGATCCCATGTTGCGACTGTGTTATGTGGGGAGACTCCCGGACAAATGAGCATTGCATCTGGGGCTGAGTGGGATTTCTCCCGCGACTCTGTATTTTGGAGTGTTGCTCAATGAAAGGTTCTCCCAGAAATGATGTTTTAGATGTGCCTTTATGGTTCTCATTCTCAAGTTATCGAGTTCTTCTTCGGCTCTCTGGCTTTTTCATCCGATGAATGGCTCCTTGTAACCTTTGTTTGTTTTGTGTCGAGCGATCTCTAAACCTCCCCACCGAAATAATATGGGCTGGGGGAGGGGGACTTGAGATCACCGTGACGGCGGACGAGAAAAGCAAAAGAGGTCATTAGTGTCAGGTTTTCTTGCGTTTCTGTGGATTGGGTCTTTATTAGTATAGCACCATAGGCCATTTTCCAAGCCTAGCCTCTCCAAGATTGAAGATTGGGGAGGAATTGGAGATCGCAGGGACGGAGATGAGGGAGATGGGGAGGTATAAAGCACTGAGTCGATATGTTGGCGTTGATTTATACAACTAGCTAGTACGAGTACAAAGCAGGGCAGATGAAGCCATCGGCTACCCAGAAATGTATAAGTCGGCCAGAGAAGCTTATTGAAGCCTGGAGGAAGGTTGAAGTGCCAGAACACATACCAATCAATCAATCAAGGTGAACAACTCGGCCACGAGAAAGGTGATACTGAGTGATTCCGGGGGAATGCGTCACGGTATATCACTGGTTGCGACGCAGTGAGACGGGGCTCGGCACTCTTTTCGCTATTCTCGTTCTGACCCTCTTTTCTGTCTTTCTCTCTTTCTCTCTATTTCATCATTGTCTTCCCTGGCCCTCTTCGTATATTGTATTGTGTTTCGTCGAGAGGCTTACTGCTTTACAGGTTCCACAACACGATGCACGATCCCCGCCTGAGACAGCTGGAGATGGGCGTGATGACAGGGTTATCCGTAGGTTCGATAATAAGATAGCATACCACTGGGTACTCCACTTCTACCGTGAGGTGCAGATAATTGTTCAGAGAAAGTGACAAGCAAACAACCCATCAATCAACCCATCAACTGACGAGACCATCTCCACACCCAAAAACCTCACCAATCAACAAGCCCACACACCCAAATGCTTCTTCAAACCACTTCACCTCCCGCAATCGGTCTCCCAACCTTTGCGTAGTAAGTAGTAGGTATTAGGTAACATGGCCTTGCTCGTCACCACCTTCAAACCCACCTCCCCCGGCATTCTCCGTAGCAAATCAGATGAACTTGAACTCGTCAATTGGTCCACCTTGACCTTAACCTTAACCGATACCCGCCGACACCGAGGCCGGTTTTGATCGGTGATCGTCGTCTTCAGAAGTTCCGCCAGCTCCGTGATGTTGCAGAGAACATTGGGTTGAGACTTTGACGCGCATCTGACGACGCGGGTAGGACGGGAGAGCAAGAACAAGGGCGAGGATTCGGGACGAGACAAGAGTCAGAATAGATCGTTATTGTTGTCGATGTGCAGGTTGTGGTGCCCTGGGCTGTGGTCGCTCAGACTCTTCAAACTGTTCTTGTCATACGGTGTTCGGAATAGGTATGGTGCTCCACGGCGGTGAGGACGGAGTTGGGGGGGCACGAGGAGATATACGGCTGGAGGAGAGGGGTTGGAACGCATCTGGGCTGAGATGGGGGAAAGACTCAGAAGAGTGTCGACGTTCGAAATACAGCCTCTCCTGAGACACGGCCCCCAACTGGTTGCCGTGGGCGTGTAAAACTTGAAGGGTGCAGCGGAGAGCATGTGGTAGCCAGCTTCTATCACCAAATGGCCGTTTCTTCCTTTCGTTGATCGCAATCCCACCAGCTCACGGCGAGTTGAAAGCCCGTCCGAAATGAGAGCCAGAAATTTAGCTTCCAGCATTTGGGCCAGTTCCTTGCTGTTGTAGATTGTATAGAGGCCTGGCTAGATGATTGTAATCGTGAAATTCGAAGATTGAGGATGTTCGAACTCCAATCTTTCCAGAGGCCGCAGGGTGCATTGGTGGCGTAGCGGGGTGTAATGCGCGGGGAGTTAAGTCGAGGCCCTCAGGTTCCATATGCTCGAGAAACCACACCCTACTGTCATGTCCACTCCTTCCAATTGTATATGTCACTAATCCAACCTCCTCCAGTCGCGAGTTGATCAACGGACCCCCGCTATACCCAGACTGCATAATGGCATTTACCTCGGACACCACCCTCTCACACCCCGTTGTCCAGTTTAACACACCCACCCACCCACATTCCGTTGGGTCGGCGCCTGAGCGAGTCTGGAATGTTCGCGGGATGGCCAAAGGGAGGAGTTTATGAGGGAATCGAGTCGGGGTTCCAGAAAGGCTTCCAGGAAGGCTCAATAACATGGTCAGAACGGGTGAGTTAACCTCGACTTCGGCCATCCCGGCCTGTTTCCCAATGGCCCAATCGAGTAGCCCTTTTCACACCACTGTGGAATGCCTAGATACTAGAGCGAGTGGTGAATACCGTCTCAAAGGTCCTCTGGATTGCGAAAGACGCGGGTTGGCGGGCGACTCTGAATTCCAGAAATGCCACGTCGATGTTCCATATCGTGAGCAATAGTGTGTACGGTAGCGAAAAATATCCATCTTTCTCTTAGACACATGAATCGTAGGTTTCTATCGCACTACCACGAACAGTACGAACACCGCAATTGTCATGTCGACTTGATGCGTGTTCGAGGGAGTCCTAACTTCGCATACCAGTGGTTGTAAAACATTACTGTATCGACCAGTGAGGTTGCGACCAAACCCCGAGCGTTTTAATGGTGATTCCGTTTATGGTGTACGGTACCGTTGCGAATATGGAAAACCCCGAAAGCCGGAGACCAAACTCATCATGCTCCTCACAGGGAAGTGTGGACCTCGAGACCCAGATTTCTTGATCAATGCGGCGGTACCAGTGTGAAATCCCGGAAACCTGTTCCAGACGATGAGAAGCTCTGGCTATGGCGTTGTAGTCCGGTGGTTGTAACCCCGCTAGTCGGTAGAGTGTTCAATTATTCTAGATCCCGTGCACAACGTCTGAGCTCTGACCGGTCCATGTAGTGCTTAACCACCAGCCGGTGGCGTGATAAGGTGTCATGAGCTCTTCTCGTGTATCATGGCTCTCTGACCTGAAGATGATTGACGAACTCTCAGTTCCTGGTTGGTCGTATCGTGATCCGTTCTCAGTCTCTCGCTTCATCCTATTTGCGTTAGTTTCCTCTTTTCATCTTCTGGTAGTCCAGTCCAGCGTGGTACTCACTTTTATTCCCTCCTCCGACGTGTTATCCGATTTCCAGACGACCGTATTAACAGACTTCGAAGTCGCAGCCGCATTTTAGTCTTCCGATTCTCGTTCCAATCTCGTAGATTCCACGTCGGAGATTAGTGCTCCATCTTGTTTCCATTTCATACCAGCTCATTTCCACTCTGTTCTTCAGATTCCGCTGGTTTCACTGAGTTTGCTTCGTTCACTTTATCTCCTCAACTCCTCTCAACGAGCCGGTGGTGATTCAGAGCCGAGCCCTGTAATCCGAATCTGCGACGCCGCGAGTCAGCAAGAAATCCACCGGAAAGTGTGCTGGTCGTCGTAGAAGATTCCGGCAACAACGGTGGCGTACCAGTTGGTTGGACGGTGGTGTTGTGAATCGCATGAGTGGAGGGAAAGACAGAGAGAGAGAGGGCGAGGGAATGAGAGGAAGGTGGGCGTTCATCGTGGACTGGCACATAGTCTGTGACTGTCTCTCGCTCGACCAGTTTCCCTTCTTCCCCACACGGCATGAACCCAATCTTAATCTATATACGTCCCGAGACATGTTACACACCCAATAACCAGTCCTGCTATCTGATTTTAAATGACACTGCACCAAGAAGTAAAATCTCATCACATTGCATCGGCAATCGATTGATTGATTGATTGATTGATATCATTTAAGCGCATGCGTCCCTTTGGGATATGGCGTCAACTACTCTACAACCTCCACCTCGCCCTCCCCTTTTAGTTCTGCTTCTTACAGGCCTTTCGAATACATAGAATTTCGTCCACAGTCAACCATATTTCTCGCCGACCCTTCGCGCTGGCGATGGCCGCCTTTTGAGTTGTGCTAGCAAGCTGCTACGCACGTTCTCTCCTCTTCCTTTTCATTATTGTGTATGTTGCCTCCCCTTCTCCCCTCCGCTCTTCGCTCTCGACGCCTCCTACTCCCCTCCTTCCGTTTCAGCTCCTCCCTCATCATGCTGTCCCCATCCCCATTCTTCCGCCCTTCTTTCTTCTTCCTCTCTTAGTTCGGAGTCATTCTGTACCTTTCCCACGTTCGTTGTTTCCAGGTAGTTCAGAATCGCTGCCGTGGCCCTCCGTTCTGCGAAAATGGTGGCGAGTGGGTGTCTTTTCGTGAGGCCGACCTGCTTTAGGTCTTTCCACAGCTTCTCCTGTTGTCTTCTCCAGTTTCTGCATTCTTTAAAGAGGTGTTCCCGGTTCTGTCGAGGGTCTCCGCACCACCAGCATTTGTCACTTGTAGCTTTCCCAATTCTTTTCAGGTATTCCGCAGTTAAGCCTTTGTCTGTGGCGAATCTGAAGTATCTGCTTACAAGGCTCTTGCAGGACCTCATTGCAGCTTGGTCTGGCTTCTGGGTTCGGGGGAGCTTAAATCTCTGTGGGTAATATTTCCCGCATGCCTTGGCTGCCCATTCTCGCTCTTCGTTCTCCGTTCTCTCTCTCAGCCTCTGTGCAACGTGGGTGATTGAAGTCATCCCAAATCGCCCTGCATATTTATGTTGGCTCTGTCTGGAGGCTGCTTTTGCGGCGGTGTCTGCAACTTCGTTTCCTTCGATACCATGATGCACTGGAACCCAGTAGAAGTAGGTTGCATCGGCAATCGGAATGTGAGCGCGTGAGTGAGTTCATAAAATATAAAGGAGGAAGAGGAACACGAAGTCAAGGTGGTGGAGTGGTTAACACGTTCGCCTGCTATATCCTTAGCAGCCCAGCGGATGCCTTCGGGCGCGCAGGTTCGAATCCTGTCCTTGACGTTTTTTTCTCATTTCCCCATTCCCCTCCCACTTTTTTTTAATACTCCCACAAACGCACAATATCGATGTATCGGCTACTGGGGAATACTACTGGTGTATTTACATGTTCAACACGTACAACTCTCGCTATAGTATGACGATACGCCGTCTCCGCTCTTCCTCTCCCATGGTAGAGTACCACAAGCTCGCCCCAGACCAGCTCAGCTCAGCTCATCTAGTAGTAGTAGGAGTAAAAGTGTACGTACGTATGCACTAGTATGTATGTAAGCTATCTACACCGCCAGCAAAAATACAACACCGTAACCCCGGCAAAACAAAGATACCAACGAGAAGAAACCCACGAAGAGAATCCAGCGAAATGAAAAGAAAAAGCCGGCGAAGAAGAAATGAAACGGAAAGAAAAGGAAGATAAGCGCCGAAAACTCCGCCCAAGGGGAAAAAAAGAAGAATGCGATCAGAAGCGTGTAGACTCCAAACTCTGACTCCAACTCCGATGATGTGTTGGGACTAGCTTTGGTGGTGGTAAGGGTGCGAGGGTGTGAGAGGGGTGAGCTAATGGAGGAAGAAGGGGGGATCATAATCATGTTGAGCTGCTGGACGATGAATGCGATGATGTAGTTGATGTGCTGGGTGATGATGATGAAGAACTTGCCGACGACGTCGCACTCCCGCTACTACTCCCGCAACCTCCATTCCTGCGAGTAGGTCGCGTTCGTCTCCTCCCACTACTCCCAATATCCCACTGCTCATGTTCGTCCTCTCCATCACCAGCCGGACACGATTCTGCCACCTGTAGCATCTCCAACGCCGAACCCCCCGCCGCCGCCAATCGATTTCCTCTTCCTGGTAATGACGATAATGCTGCTCTGGCCGGTAATGCTGGCGATGCTCCTGGTACTGTTACTCCCGGCAACTCAGACGCTGACGAAAATAATGCCGAAGCCGAAAATGATGACACCGGCGCCTTCATCTGCATCATCTGCGCCTCCACCTCTCCACCGCCTTTCTTCAACCCGGGCTGGCGGTATATCGCCATCAGCGACGGCGGCGTGTACCCTGGCGCGGGGTTCGAGCGTCGGGAGCTGCGGGGGAAGGTTGGTGGTGGTGGTGGTGAGGGGGAGGGGGAGGGCGTGAGGAGGTGGGTTAGTTGTGAGGAGGTGGGGGCGGTCATTGCTGGGGGGTTTTTTGGTGGTGGTGGAGATATTTTTGGGGGTGTTGATTGCCGAAGTTGGACAAAGAGAAGTGAGCAAGGGGAGGAGAGGGAGAAAAAGGGGGGGACGAAAGAATGAAAAAAAGAAAGCGGAGGATATCGTTTTAGCTCAAGGAGGATGAGAAGGAGCAAGATGGTGCCTGGTATTAAATCGGTGATGATCCCACTGCCGCTATTACTGCTTCTGGTATGAAATCCTAGCAAAGCAACAAGTTGTAATAGGCAATATTTCGATTTCCGCTACCGCTGTTTGTCGTCGTTGATCAACCCAGAAACGCCAGTGTCGGGCGAACGAATATATCCAGCCACGACTCCGTAAAACGCAGAGCCCGGGAGAGAAGCAAATCGGTTTGAGTACAGCAGTGTCGATGGTTTGAGTGTCGGGAAATGGAGGGTTCATGCGGTTTCGAGAATGGTTTGGGATTGCGATGGGGATGTTTGTGCTCGCTCTCAACGGGTATCTTTGTTATCCCTGTCGTGGTTTTTGTTGTCGTGGTCTTTATCTTAGAAGGAGAAGAAGACAAAGAAGGGATCCAGCGAGACAACAAACTTCTTCCCACGTCGTTCCGCTGCCTTAATGTCCACAGTGGAAAAACGTGGTCGCCCAAGGTTCTGGCCACAATGCGGATCAATGCTTTTCGGTGATGTGAGGCGGCGATGCTGAGAGGTGGAGGAGGTGGTGGGGCTTGATGCGGCGCAGAGGGCAGCGGTGGCTGAGGAGCAGCGGGATATGGATGGTGGTTGTTCTTTGGTTGTCGTTGTCGTGGTGAAGAGGCGGGGCGGGCGCGAGGCAGGGAGGAACAGGGATTGGGGGCGTGGGCACGTGATGACGCGTGGCGAGTGCGGCCTGGTGGGGGAGTGATGGGCGTGAAGTAATCATAGAATGGGAACGAGTATGTTTGATGGGAGGCAGTCCGAAACTTCAACCTAGCCCATGTAAATGCCGAAATGAGGGGTTTGGGTGAAAGAAAGAAGATTGCCAGTGAGGTGAATATGGGAATTGGTAGCTTGAGCAGAGGCGGTTGGAGGAAGACATGAGTTGATGTTACTGACGTGTAATAATGTCAGGTTTGGAAATCATACTTTCAAACTGTGTTTTCATGTTCCGCGGTGTGAACCATGGCCCCCGTTCCCTATAAACTGCAGCGGAACTTAAAATCCTTCCATCCCGCTGCAACATCACTCATCTCACCTGCCTTTACCGCACCACATCCCCCCCACTACCAGTACGCCCGCTCGACCTCGATCGTTTTATATGATGCTAATATCTTAGGCGCCGATATGGACGAACCCCAGGCCTCAGAGCTCGGTGATCGCCCGACGAATGCAGCCAGGTTGGGTATGCCTCCTCCACTCGAACTCGGCGAACCACTCCATTTGATGCTAATGTCTTCTAGCGGGAAAAAAAAGCGTGGAGCCTCAGTATGCCCACTCTGCCGAACGTCACGGTTTGATTGACGAGAACACCATCCCGCCTGAGCACCAACAACAACAAGCCAGTAACCGTCAATCATGGTCCGGAGTTCTCCCCAGTATGGAACCAAGACGATATCAGAGCGAGGCGTCCGAGTCGATCGCCTTGACACGCAACGAGCGTGAAGGGGTATAGTAGTAGTACATACGGCCTTCCATCTTCGAAGTCACAATGTTTTGGTCACTCGACCCTGCAGATGAAGAATCCCTGGGATTTGATTTACCGAGGACTACACCCGCTCAGTGTTGGGCAGTTGGAGCAACGCTAATCGGAACCGCTCTTCATTGCATCGCAAACCCTCCGGAGGAATATATCCCACGCCACGCCAACAAGGAACGAATCAAGGGTTCGTATTATGGGCGAGGCGGAGTTTCAGCAAACGCCAATCGGATATCTTCAAAAGATCAAGACTGAAGCATGTTACGAACTCGGCTGAGAAAGACCAACACCAAGAAGAACCCATGTTCTTGGAGTAAAAAGCATTTGCGGTGGCCTGATCCATTGATCTCGTGTTGTTGGAGCCCCCATCCCGCTCAGCGATCCAACAACCTTCGGCGAAGTTTTCACTGTGGAAACCGCCAACTACATGGAAAGGAACCCTTAAGCAGACTGTTGCAAGACGAGAAGTTGAATGTGGCAGGTGTAGTCTCCGAGAAGATCGGAAAAATGGAACATATGGTGGTCGGCCGACGGTTTTCTTCTCCACTCCTGTGGAAGTGTCTGAACTCGGTGGCGTCCAGAGAATACCAGATTGGGGAGGTCTGACGATGTGGCGGATGACAATTCGTAGCCTGAGTAAGTAACGGTGGCTGAACTCCTCGTTCCCATCTCGCTCATTTGCCCATATAAAGCTGCACCGCTGCTTCCCGTCTTCCCTCCTCGCCATCACCACTACACCCCACTCTCTATATCTGTATCGCAACACCTGCGCAAGCTTAAACCCACAGGTATGTACCGTCTGGCGCGTCCTTCTGCTTTCAACACTCGAACATGCTTTATAATAGTAGCACAACCTCCAATTCTCGCCCACTACCCATCCGAGAAATACGAACCAGACACAACCCAAATGATGCTGCAAAAGTGATATCACGGGCTACCAACGAATCCAAACGATCGTTTTCGAGATTGATGCCACTTTCCGAGATGGATTTAGCAGTGGATCACTGTTGGATGGCAACTTACAGGCCATCAGTGTGGTCGAGGAAACCAAGGGCACAAGGAGCTATATGATTCCCGCACGAGGAATTTCTAGTTGTACTCTACCATGTGGAGATGCCCCAACATGAGTGTTGCGCGTGCTTCCTCAAACAATCATCTGGGGAGAAATGTCGACGAACCCACCAAGATGGAGAAATCAGACTATATGTCGATCATACCAACTTGTTTGACCATGGATAACGAGTTTCTGCGGGATTACGAGTTGTTCCACATCTTCCTCTCGTCATTCGGCATCGTATCCCCACTCTTCAGATCGGTCTTGTCGGGGACAAATCTCTTCATTTACTCTTTCCCGACACGGCGTCACCCCTCGAGGAGCCGACGATGAGCTCCGAATCACTCACCTCTCCTCTTCTTTTGTCACCACCCCTGCTAGCAGCTGTCTCGGGCTCAAGTTGGAGTAACAGTGCGACTTCGATATCCACATTTGGGATGGCACCATCGCTGTTTTGACTGCTCCGGTCACGGAAAACCTGGGACTCTTCGAATACACATCCTCTCTCCTTCTTTCCAGTTCCCGCAAAGTTATGAACCACCCTTCACTGTGGTGGAGGAACTTGGAAGGAAAACTGAACTCGGGAGGAGTGCATGCGAATGTGAAGTCAACAGCAGTATAAGATCAAGTTACCGCAGCGTATTTCTGTAACACGGAGATTCGCGGGCTGATGGAGTGAACCGTGTTTGCTGCCAGTGTGATGCGGACAGTTGCAGTGGTTGGGTCTCCGGACCCGGAAAATCATGATATATAAGCATGGTAGTATGCTATGGTGTCCAAGTCGGAAGAGTGTAGAGAGTGTAGAGGAGCCTGCTGCAGAGGTGTGATGTCGGTTGAGTGCACGTTTTTTCCGCGGTAGATGTAGATATACCGAGGCATCCTCGTGGGGGGGTGGGGAGAACAGAATATAAAAATTCATTAATGAACTTGAAAAAGACATGACCGACTCTCGGAGTGTGTTCCCTCCGCATCGTGGGGTTTCCCTTCGTCGCACTGGAGCTGGGTGCTGTGGAGTACACGGTGAGACTGTTCAAGTTGGAATGATGGATGGGAGTGAGGGTTTGGGCGGGTTGAGTGGAGAGGGAGCATGGGGGGGATGGGGC